GGGCAGGCAGTGGGGGGGGCAGTCAGTGGGGCAGTCAGTCATCTCTCCCTCCTGCCCCTGCTGCCCCTCTGCTGGGCCCCTCCATTCTTGCTCATCCCATTTCCCCAGGCAGGGGCACCGTATGCAGCAGTCCTCCCTCAGGGCTGTTCTCCCCAAACCCTTCTTTCATTGGGCCTCCTCCAGGGACAGTGCACTCTCCTGTGGCTGCAGTGGGCAGTCAGTGGGGAGGTGGTAGTGGGGCAGACACTGGGCGGGGGGTGCCAAGCACCTGGCCCTGTCCCTTGCCACCCAACACCTTGCCCTCTACTGCAGATCCCCCTGCATTTGCTCACCCTGCTGCCTGTCCCTCTTATGCCTGTTCCCCCATTTCTGTCCTCTCCCTCACCCTCTGCAACTTTGGTGGCAGCAGTTTCAGCTGGGCCCAAGAGCTGGGGCACGGAATAGGGATATGCTCTGTGCCCAGGCTGGAATTGAAACAAAACCTGTTGTCCTGGAACAAAATTTAGCTGGGGGGTGGGAATATGTGGAAATGAGGGGAAAAATTCATATTGGAATCAAGTAAATATGGTATATGCTTAAATATGGAAATAGAAGCATAAATGTGTAGTCATTTGTTGAGAAATCTTGGCTGGACTATTTATGGTTGCATAAAATGAATGTGGCTGTGTCAGTAGTTGATATACTGTAAAGACGTCATCCATGTGAAAACACAGGCCAAAATGACACATATGGGCATGCCTAAAGTTAGCAACTAAATTTAACTTCTCATTTTTAGAGGTGTTGAATCACTTATGTCAATGGGAATTGGAAGTGATAATGATATGTGAAAAATCAAGTTACTTCTTCAGATACCTAAATATGAACTTTGGTGCTTAGCTTTAGTTCTCCTGACTTGACCTTGTTGGCTTATGAATAATTTGTGGTATGTCTGTAGTACTTTTCATTCAAAATACATAGTGACATTCTCAAGTACATAAGTCATTTGGGTGACAGTATTGGCTCAATAGTTGCCAACTATTTTATTTCTAATTTAGCAAATTTAAAAAACAGGATAAAAATCTCAAGTGTAAGAAAAAGACTCCAAACAAAAATCTGGGGAATGCACATGCCAGACAAAAGGATCACTTTACAAGTGATTTTTTTAAAATTACTGAATCATTAAAAAAATAGAAATTAATTATTACCTCTAGTTCTGAGATCTTTGGATGATTTCTCCAAGTTAGGGAAAGACTGCAATGAAAATAAAATTATTTGAGAACCCAAATTCTCTGCCACAGTACTCTTTGAGGAAGATTCCAGTCCCAAATAGGTGGTTTCTTAGTACCTGATAACTTAATCCTGAAAATAGGGAAATTTGAGGATGTCTGGAATTGGAAAGCAGGGAAAAGAATACCTTCCAGGTACATAGTAACTTGACATGAAGAATAATGGGGACTGAGAGCCAATGGACTGGACATGGTTATAAGAGGAGATGAGAAGCCTCATAACAGGGTGCTCCAACACCTTGTGTAATATCCTCCCCTTGCATGAGGTCAGAGGCCCAGGCACAGAAGCCCTAACCCAAGCAGAACCCAAGCTGGGCACCATGGCCTAAAGCAGGGGTGGCCAACCTGTGGCTCTGGAGCCACATGCAGCTCTTCAGAAGTTAATATGCGTCTCCTTGAATCTTTGCACAAGCACACAGTGACCAGCTTCCATTTGGGTCCATATTAACTTCTGAAGAGCTGCATGTAGCTCTGGAGCTGCAGGTTGACCACCCTGGCCTAAAGGGTTAGGCAATACATTTGCACATCTCAAAGGCAGAAGCCCAGAAGTGGTTGTAAGAGAGAGAGATAAAGAGAGTTTGGAGGCCCTAAAACCACTGGCCCAGAATGACTGGGGACTCAGAACAAGCTGGATTCCTGTGTGGAGCTGAACACACCCAGGGAGCCAATAGACGTCAGAAGTCTTGCCAAATGGTAAGACCTGCCTCTGACCTCACATTCCTTCCTGCCTCTGCTTTGAGCAGAGGCAGGACACCTCCCAAATCACATTTTTTCCAGCAAGGCATGGCAGGAGAATCAAGATCAGGGAGGTTTCTAAGTGGACTGGGAGATGACAGGACTGGCCATGATGAGACAGAGCCCCTCCACTCATGTAGGGTAAACAGGAATATTCAATTTACCATGTCTATACTACTCAATTTTTATATTTAATACCACTCACCCACATTTCTGTATCCCCCCCAAATTTGCCTTCCCTTACTGCTTCTTGAAACCTCTTCCCTCTTCTTCTCTCTGCTCCTTTACCATAAATCTCTCTCTTTGTTGCACTGTCTCAACTCTCACATCCCAGCACTTCTTCCACACTCCTTCACATTACCCTTATTGTTCTAATAATTCATAGTTCCACCCAGGTCTGGTGTCACTAGGCTATTTGCAAACATTCTTGACCTAGACTTCCTGCACATATGCATTACAAATTCTTTGGTTTGTGAGTTTTGGTAGGTATTATTTATGAACTCAAAACTCTAAGACAGGGGCAGGCAAAATACAGCCTGCTGGCCAGATCCAACTCACCTGGAAATTTCATTTGGCTCACAGGCAGGTGCCCACCAATTAATTGTATTGGCTCAGTTGCCCCAGCTGTGCTCTGCATGGGGCTAAGCCCTGCCCACTCCAGCCCAGGCAGCGTGCTGTGCTCCCACCCTCAGCACCGGCCCCAGCCAGCATGCACAGCTTCTGGGTGTGTCTGCTGCTGCTCCCCCAGGGAACTGCTTGGCTCTCTCAAGCTCCAGTAGCTCCTCCTCCTGTCACCACTGAAGTGCTGCAGGAGTGCAGGGCCAGCCTGGTTCCATTGCATGGGGCCTCACATGGCTCATATGCAGCTTCCGGGACTCATGTGCTGCCAGTGGGAGCCCTGCACAATGGAGCTGGTGGCCTTCCCACTCCCTGCCACCGCATGCATCTCCCAGCACTCCACTGGAAGTGCAGGGGAGCCCTGTGTGATGGAGCCAGGAGTGCTTGGACCCACTCTATACTGCCCTGGCAAAGTCCTGGGAGCTACAGATGGCAGGGGGCTCCACCTGTGTTGGCCATGAGTTTCCTGAGGGCCTGCCATTTGCTGCTGCTGCTGCCACTGGCAGCGGGAGCTGTGCACCAGAGGGGAGGTGTGGGAGAGGGCATGTGGGGGACCACACCCCCCACACCTCCCCTACAGACACCTGCCAGTGGCAGAGCTATATTGCTTTTACCATATAGAGACCATGACACAGAAAAGAAAGAATTAAATGGATGTTTTTCTCACCATAACCAATTTGAGGAGATCAGCTGCATTCACCTTCTCTTCCTCGCTTCTTGGTTCTTTAATGCTTATCTCTTGCATCTCATCTTCCTGCTTCAGGATATTTTCTATGTACTTCTAACAGAGCAGTTGATAAAGATGTGTGAGATGCAATTGTCTGTTTCACAGATGTGTACATAAAGGATACTTCCCAATAAGTACTATGTATACAGCCTCTGCAAATTTATACTGGGAACATCTACACAAGATGCTTTCTTGTGCAGTAGACTAATCTACTGCACAGTAAAGTGTCACTATATAAAGGTGAGCTGAGCTACTGCACAGTAAAATAGGCTAATGTGCAGTAAATCTACTACCTGTATTTACAGGTAGTAGATTTACTGTACATTAGTGAATGCACAGTAGTTCACGTGTAGACACTGGGAGTGTCTACAAATGTAGTGGACTACTTAAGCAAGTACTAAATGACTGTGCAGAAACCGGTGTTACTGTGCAGTCCCATCACTGCATGGTTATTTTTAGCTGTGATTCATTGCTACTGTGCAGTAGTGTTGCCATTATGGATCATGCCCAGCAATGCAACGTTGCTGTAGCAACAAGCTATGGCACAGTAGCTTGTTACTGTGGCAACACAGCATCTTGTGCCCACTGACTAGGAGTAAATTTGCTCCCAGTCAGCCAGACCAGCAGGGAGCCAGCCTCCTGCCAGAGGCAGAAAAACATGGCTGGGAGTCCCTCCAGCCATGAGGCAGGGATGGCTTTTTAGCAGTCCTTGGCTGGCCTATAGACTCCTGGTTTGATCCCTGGGGTCTGGGCCAACTGATGCCTGCTGTGGCCACTGTGTGCTGGTGTGGTGGGCATGTGCTAGTTGCAGCAGAACTGCCGAGCCCCAATCTAACCCCCAGGCCTCTACCGGCTGCTTTCTGGGCACCATGCTCCTGCGTTGAAGTCATGTGCTGGTTCCAGTAGCCCCTCAGGCCATCACACATGAGTGAGAGAGGGACCAGGAGGACTGTGCCTTTTGGGGCAGGCTCCTCACCCTCAGAGAGAGGCACATTGACCTCAAGAAGATGTTGGAGGCATAGAAGAAGGAGGCCACTGTAGTAGCTTGAGCAGTGGAGGCCACAGAGGAGGACCACCAGGTAGTGGACACCATCCTGGCCCTGGCAAACACCTTTGTGTTGGTTGCCACTCAGCCCTTGTCTCTGGCCCTGCGTGCCACCTGGAAGCCACCTGCCACAGCCACTGGTTCTGGCCCCGGCCCTCGCTCCAGCACCGCCTGGCAGCCACCTACAGCCCCATGCCAAGCCCCACAGTGGGCCTGGAAAGAGGTCCAGTGGCACCTGCAGAAGCCAGGGCCTCCTGCCCCTGCTCCTGAGCTGGGTCCCCCAGCAGCCAGGCCACCCACCTGGACTGCTGCGCACCACTCACCTGCCTGCCATGTAGCTCCTGAGCTGAAGATGGCCTCTGCTGAGTTCAGCCCCATGGAGGAGGAGGGGGAGCAGGCTGGACAGCACCTGCCCTCCTCCTAGCTAAGCCCCTGGGCCACTGGCATCACTGTGGTGTCTACACCCACAGTGGTGCTATGAGAAGCCTGGGTGCCAGGCACCTCTCCCCAGGTTCCATGCCATAGGTACCTCCAGCCAGCTGTTCCTCCCCTGACACAGCACCAACCACATTCTTGTAAATAGTTCTATGGGAAACAGGATATTTTATTGGTAGTGGGTGTTGGGGTTTGGGGTGGGGGCTGCTGTTGGGGAGGGAGGGGGGGAGGGAGTGTGTTGTTGGGTGCCCTGCTCCTTTAAAGAGCTGAAACTGCTAGGGGAAGAGCCCTAACAGTGAGTTGGAAGCCCCAGCTGCTGGTTACCAGGGCAGCCAGAATGAACTAGTGGCCCACACCTGTCAGCAGTCAGCTGACCAGAAAGGGCAGGGCCTGGCTCATATATAAACCCCAGGGCTGAGGCCAGGATGGCAGTTCTGTGCCAGCAACCAATGGGGCAGGAGCTCTCTCACAGCAAGCAAAGGGAAGAGGCCTGACTGCAGGTACAGCTTCTGATACTGTTGAGGGATGGAGTACCCCGGTGTGACTTGAATGATGTTATAGGTGGGCGGGTTGAATTTATGTTACAGCCCAGGGGCTTGTGTTTTTTTGTTGTTGTATAAGACTGGTGGTTTGGGTGAGGCTATTGTGGGAAGGAGGAGGCCTCATAGGGGGCCCACGGCAGTGTGGGGACCCTGGCGCCAGAGGGGGTGTGGCATTTGGGGTGCACAGGCCCCAGCACCAGAGAGGGCACGGCATTTGGGGTGCACAGGCCCCGGCACCAGAAAGGGCACTGCATTTTGCAGGGCTGCGGAAAGCCCAGGCACCAGAGAAGGTGCCGCATTTTGCAGGGCTGTGGAGAGCCCAGGCATCAGTGAGGCACAGAGCAAGACGGGGCTGCGGAGAGCCCAGGGAGGACAAGGGGGCTAAATTACAACAAGGCCCAGACCGGACAACGTCGGTACCATCTGTGATGCCTGGGGCGTGGTAAATGGGTGGTTGGAGCCATGCATAGCCCATAATGCTAGGGTGCCCCAAAACACCCATCATGACACCTATTTTGAAGCGGCATGCACCAGAGGTCTGGAAAGCCATGGGTGTCCAGAGAATCAATCAGAACCGTGTCCAAGAGGACTTAAAGGCAGCCTCCCTATTAATCATTCAATCAAAGACATGGTAGGCAAGAATAGAGGGTGCCCATCAGGCCAACTTGGCATGGTAGAGGGGCCTTGGGGAGATCACGGCCATCCTTCAGGACCCCATCCCATGACAAGGAGGGAGGGCAGGAGGGAGTGTG